GGGGGGGTTTGAGGGAGGTGGGGAGTTATATTGTAAAACTTTTAAAAATTTTCAATAAAAAAAAAAAAGAAGCAGGCTGGTGGGTGTAGTTTATGTGTTAAAATTGGATATTTATTTTTACCTATCATTATTAATAGGATGTTATAATTATTGTGTTTAATATGTTTGTTTAAAAGAGAGTTAAAGGATGTTATAGATTTGTTAATCTAATAGCGATTCATGTTAGACAGAGTATGGTTATTGTATTGTTAACCCTGTGATTGGCTCTGGGAAATGGGGGGGGAGGGAGAGGGGAGGGGAAGGGTGGGTTCTGGGGAGGGGGGGGAGATATATTGTAAAACTTTTATAAAATTTTCAATAAAAAAAAAGAAAAAAGAAGCAGGCTGGTGGGGATATACAGGTAGTCCTCGGCTTACAACAGTTCGCTTAGTGACCGTTCAGTGTTGCAAGGGCACTGAAAAAAGGGACTTGTGACCGTTTTTTCGAAGTTGCAGCCTTCGTAGCCGTCCCACGATGACGTGATCAAAATTCAGGTGCTTGGCAACTGGTTCATATTGGTGATCCTTCCTGTGACCCAAGGTCACGTGATCCCCTGACAAGCAACGGGGAAGCCAGATTCATTTAGCAACCGTGTTGGTTACGAACTTATCAACTGCAGTGATTCACTTGACAACTGTGGCAGGAAAAGTCGTAAAATGAGGGGGCCAAACTCACCGAACAAATGTCTCACTTCACAATAGAAATTGGGGGCTCAATTGTGGTCGTAAGTCGAGGTCTAATTGCATTCGATTTATTCTCCTTACTGCCCCTAGCTGCAAAGCATACTTTTTGTGCAAAGTTTTATTCATTCCAATGGCATATCGTTAATATAATTAATTAGACTAGGTGTTCAAACAATAAGTAAAGCGTTATGCCTAAAACTTCATTACCGCAGTGCAGTATTTCCCGGTGGATTCGGTTAGCTTTTCCTGAACTGTGCCTTAAAACAAAGACACCTTTCTAACCATATCCCTGTCCTTACCTTGCTACCTTGCCCACTTTACACAACAGGTACCCTAACAGAGGAAGACCAATGCAGATATACTTTAATGGATAATGCATGCTTATGGCGGGTTGATCTTAGCAACCATGATTACCTGGTGCAAAAGAGAAAAGTTGACATTTGACTCACAAATCTGACTGAAGAAACAAGTTAGCTGTGGGCAATAACACTATCGACCTTGAAAGCAGGAAACGAGATAGACTATTCTATAAATGGTTTGCAAGGACACTTTTGTTTTCATCCCCCAAGAATACAAGCCAGGAAAAAATAAAATCAAAACAGGAGAACCAACAGAAGTAGCTCTCTCCCAGATCTAGAGATGCAAAATTGGGCTCCCACTTGGCTCCCCAGAGCCTCATATGTGCTCCCCCAAGGATCCTTTCTCAGTCTGCCACTGCGTTGAACTGATTCAGTTGCAATGATATTTCCTAATAGTGAGACCAATTAACCAGTGGCTTGCCTTCAGAAGCTGTGGGCGCTCCATCACTGGAGGTTTTTAAGAAAAGACTGGAAAAGCCATTTGTTCAGAATAGTATAGGAAGACCTCCACAGTTCCTTCCAACTCTTGTTGTTTTTTTATTCCGTTCTGAAAATATTTGTATTTTTTAGCGGAAGATTGGCAAGCAGGATGAAATGCTTTCTCAGTTAATTGCCCCAGCATGCTATTAACTCTGGTGCTTGAAGTTCCCTTGAACTGTTGCATCCGTTTTACTTGGAAAACCGAAAGCTCCTTCAGATCTTCCACATGCAAAGGAAGCATTTTATCTCTGGGCAAAGATATCCCTTCTGTGGAGTCCTTGATGCTCTTTGATTGGTTGGCTTGCTGAAGGTTCATTACCCAACTAACGTCATCAGTGCTAGTGAGGATGGAGTTTGCTGCCTGTTTATATACAGTATAGTAGCGTGTCCTGTCGATGTTGGTGGAGTGGTGTTTCTCCTTAGTTTCTCCACTTTTGACTATGGTATTCTGTTGGATTGTTTTCAAGCAGAAAAATATGATGATGATGATTCGCCGCACAGTCAGCCAGATGTTTAGCTGAATTTTTAAATTAATAGGTGGCATTTTTGCCCACCTATTAAATTCTTCCCAAGTACCTGGGATATGCAAATGTTGTTGTCAGAGATATTGTTGCAGGATGCAAGCTGCTTCAAGGAAAGCTGCCTTTAGCAACTGACTGATAATTTTGTCAATGCTGATTTATTATTATTAAAGACATGTTAGATCCAGCTGTCTGAAGATGGCTCTGATGCTTGTAAAGGAAAAAAAAGGGGACAACCAGATGCAAAATGGAGGGACTCGGCTATAATGGTGTTGGAGGTAGTGTTGGAAGACCTGAAGGGCCAGGTTAGGGACAGATTGTCCCAGAGAAAACTGAACTGAAACTGTGCTAGAGAAATTCTGAACTGATAGCACATAATCAAATCAACCAGACCAGATTTCAGTTCAGACAGTCATATGGAGTGGAATGGGACAGCTCACCACGGCCATCTTGCCACGGTCAACACATCCAAAACTCATTGCAGGACAATTCAACAATTCCACCTATTTAAAATAATTAAAACATTATTTAAAATAATTAAAACATTATTTAAAATAATTAAAACATTATTTAAAATAATTAAAACAATATTTTATTCTAATTATTTTAATTTTTGTCATTCCCATTTCATTTTCTCTCTCCTTTGGCATCTTTAATGATTCTATTCCACCATTTCTTCAATATTGGTGTAACTCTTGTCCTGCGGCCAGTTGGCTGTGCCGAGTTGGCCCCGGCGAGTTGTCAACTCTCCTGCTTGTGTAGGGAATTGGACTAGATGACCTCCAAGGTCCCTTCCAACTCTGCTATTCTATGTTCTGTGTTCTACTCTTTGGTCATAGCTAATTTTAATTACTGAAAATGTTTAATTTTCTCATTCTGATTTAATTTGGTCATCAATCTCCGGAGTGATGCAAATTGCAAGGTTGCTAATTGACCAGAACCCCCCCCTCCACATAAATTTATGCTGCTCATTTGGCTTTAACAACCAATGAAGGTTCTCACTAATGATGATTACATAAAGTGGCCAGCTTAAAACCCTTTGGCTGGAAAAGCAATTCCTCCTTGGATGTCACCTGTCTGGAAAGAAGCTTCTGCTAGCTCACTATTCCTGGAATAATTATTATAATTATAAAACAGATGAGACTGAGAAAGGAAGAAAAAAAAGAAACATTTTCATCGCTCTTTGATTTGATATTATTTATTTTATCTTTCTTTTACAGCGTATCTTCCCCCCAAGGGAGCTAGAATCTTAAAGCTTAGTGTTTGCATTTTAAAATCAGAAACAAAGACAATAAATTACATTAGGTCACCCACA